TCTCCTATTTATTTTTAGTGACAAAGACAACATGGTCAAACAATACAAATAATTCTACTCATCTCCAATCTTTTCTGCCCCACCTCTTGTAGGTAAACAATCTTATTAGTTTGTGACTAATTCTGCTTGTGTTTCTCTTTGCTCAAATGGCAAGAAACATGTATATTTTATTTCCCCTTCATTTTTACATAGAAAGTAGCATGTTATAAGTATACTTTTGCACATTGCTTTCCTCCCATTTACCAATATATCCTCATATTTCTTCATATTGATCCATACAGATATGTTTGTTCTTATTTTTTCCATAGCTAAAAAATACTCAATTGCATTGATGTACCTATAGAGTTTTCTTTAAGAGTTTTAGAATGAGATATTGGTGATGAATGCACTTAATGCCTCAGAATTGTATACCTCAATTCAATAAAATGGTAAATTTTGTGTTTTGTATAGTAAAGTATAATTAAAAAATTAAAAATTAAGTAAAAGGTAACAAGTAATTTTTGCATAAAACGGACAAGAATTATAAGATAATAATTTAAGATTAAGCTAACAGAGGGGTAATGGAATAACAAAATATATATTAAATCAAAAGGGAGGAAGACAAGAGAATAAATATGAAACAGATATGTTGAATAAAGTCATAGTAATGTGGAAAATATAAGTTTAAATATATTGTGGCTACATTAGTTATCTATATATATAAAAGGCTAGTGATTGGAACACCGTAACCACCAGAATGTGGTAATAACCATAATGACTGGTAGCTATGTTGCCCACTGAGGCCAGTGAACCGATCTGATTGGTGGAAAGGACCGGCTAGCAAACCTCCTGTGGCCCCTCCCCCCACCTGGGAACATGACAGGGATATCTACTTTCACCACTCTTATTTAACACTAGAGGCTGGGTGCACAAAGTTCATTCACCAATAGCGGGGTTTCCCTCAACCTGGCCTACGCCCTCTTGCAGTCCAGGAGCCCTTAGGGGATGTCTCCCTGCTCCTTAGGACATCCCTCTCTCAGCCCAGGAACCCTCAGGGGATTTCCCCTGCTGGATTAGGCCTGATCTCGCCTGGCTTAGACCTAAGCTGGCAGTCAGACATCCCACTTGCAGTCAGGGATCCCTTGCTCCTTACTGCCCACCTGCTCACTGCTCCTTAGTGCTGCCATGGAGACCAGCCATGAGCCTGGCTTCTGTCTGATCAGCTTTCCCCATGTGGGAATGTAATGACCACCCGGGGCAGCTCCTGCATTGAGCATCTGCCTCATGGTGGTCAGTGCATGTAATACCGACCAGTCATTCTGCTGTTCGGTGTATTTGCATATTAAACTTTTATTATTTAGGATAGTACTGAAGTCCTGGCCACAGCGATCAGACAAGAAGAAATAAAAAGCGTTCAAATAGGAAAGGAAGAAGTAAAATTGTCATTACTTGCAAAAGACATGTGACTATAAATAGAGAACTCTAATTCCACAAAGAAACTGCCAGAGCTAATCAATGGATTCAGGAAAGTAGCTGGATACAAGATAAATATCCAGAAATCAGTTGTATTGTATATACCAATAGTGAACTAGCAGATAGAGAAACTAAGAAATTAGTCCCATTTTCAATTGCATCACAAATTTACCTATGAAAATCCTCACCATCATGGCTCAATTGTTTAGAGATGACCTATGAACCAAGGATATCATGGCCTGATTTCTGATCAGGTCCCATGCCCGGGTTGTGGGCTTGATTCCAGTGTGGGACATGCAAGAGGCAGCCAATCAATGATTCTCTCTCATCATTGATGTTTCTATTTCTCTTTTTCTCTCCCTTCCTATCTGAAATCAGTGAAAATTTATTTTAAGTATGACTTGATATCTGATTTTATGACCCATCTAACTTTGTTTTTTTTTGTTTTTTTGATTTTTTTCTCAAGATAGCTGCAGCTATTTGGGGTATATTTTTTTTATTCCATATAAATTTTTGGAATATTTGTTTATGAAATATGCTGTTGGTATAGGCCTGTGAAATATCCTATTGGTATTTTAATGGATTGCATGAAAAATATGAATTGCTTTGGGTATTATAAACATTTAAATATGATTCTACCAATCCATGAACAGAATATTCTTCCATTTGTTTATGTCTTCCTCTATCTCTTTTTTTCAACACCTCCTAGTTTTCAAAGAACAGGACTTTTACCTTCTTGGTTAAATTTATTCCTAAGTATCTTTAAAAAAAATTTTTTTTGTTATTGTAAATGGGATCAACTGAGAGATGCAAATAAAAACTATCTCACACCTGCCAGAATGGCTATCATCAGCAAATCAACAAACAACAAATGCTGGCAAGGATATAGAGAAAAGAGAAACATAGTAAACTGCTGATGGGAATGAAACTTGTGCAGCCTTGGTGGAAAACAGTATGGCATTTCCTCAAAAAATTAAAAATGGGACTCCTATTTGACTCAATGATCCCATTTCTAGGAATATATCCTAAGAAATCAGAAATACCAATCAGAAAGAACCTATGCAACCCTATATTTATAACAGGGCAATTTACAATAGGTAAGATTTGGAAACAGCATAAGTGCCCATCAACATTGAGTGGACTAAAAAACTGGTATTGTCCTAGCCTATGGTACTGTGGGTAGAGTGTTGGCCTGCGGGCTGAAGGGTCCCAGGTTCGATTCTGGCTAAGAGCACATGCCTGGGTTGTGGGCTTGATTCCCATTGGGGGTTGTGCAGGAGACAGCCAGTCGATTATTCTCTCTCATCATTGATGTTTCTACCTCTCTATACCTCTTCCTTCCTCTCTGAAATCAATAATGAAATATATTTAACAAACAAACAAACAAGAAAACGGTGGTACATTTATACAATGGAATACTATGCTGGTGTATAACAGAAGGAACTCTGTTATACACCATTTGCAACAGCATGGATGGACCTGGAGAACATTATGCTGAGCGAAATAAGCCAATGGGAGAAAGATAAGTATCACATAATCTCACTCATATGTGGAATATAATGAACAATGTAAACCAATAAACAAATATAGATCCAGAGACACAAGAACATTAAAGAGACTATTAAACATCAGAGGGAAGGTATGGTAGAGTTGGAGGGGAATAGATCAACCAGCGAACTCATATTTGTATTGAATAACCTATGGACACAGACTATAGGATGCTAAATGTCAGGGGTAGCTAGGCAGGGGCAGGATGGGAGAAATCAATAGGGGAAAATGGGGACATTTGTGATACTTTCAACAATAAAGATTATATATATTGAGTGACCAGATTATTATGCATTCATAGATCATAATAATCTGGCCACTCAGTGTATATAAGTATAAATTAGAGGTCTCGTGCATGCATTCGTGCATGGGTGGGATCCGGCCATCCTGGCCAGGGGAAGGGAACATGGGAGGTTGGCCAGCCTGCCTGCTGATTGTACTCCTGGTCAAAGAGACAATTTGCATATTAGCCTTTTATTATATAGGATATTCACTGAGTGGCCAGATCATTATGCATTTAGAGATAATAATAATCCTGGCCACTCAGTGTGTGTGTGTGTGTGTGTGTGTGTGTGTGTGTGTATGTGTGTGTGTTATTTTTAACATACATGTTATTTAAAAAAATTACATAGGAATAAATTTAAATAATGATGTAAAAGATCTGTACTAGGAAGTTATAAGACACTGAAGAAAGAAATTGGAAATACAAATATATAGAAGAATGTAATATGTTATGAATAGGAGGAATTACCATCACTAAAATGTCCAGAGTAGTTAAAACAATATATAGATTCAATGCAATTTTTGTCAAGGTATGAATAGCTTATTTCACAGAACTGGAACAATATTTCAAAAATTTATGTGGAACCACAAAAGACCCTGAATAACCATAGCAAACTTGAGAAAGAAGAGTACAGTTTGAGTAATCCCTCTACCTAATATCAAATTATACTACCATGTCATCTACACAAATGAAAGAGAAACATGTGAATCTACCATACCTCTGCTACGCCCACCAGCCAATCAGGAGTGAGCATACAAATTGCATATGCTGACATTCTTGCCATAACTACGCAGCTGCTCAAGGCATCTGGGCAGCATGTGAAGGCGGAAAGGCAGCTCTGGCCAGAACAGAAAACAGCTCTGACCAGAGCAAAGGTGGTGCTGGCAGCCAGGGTAAGGAGGGCCCATTCTTGCATGAATCTTCGTGCATCGGGCCTTTAGTAGTAACACAAACTGCATGGCACTGGCATAAATACAGACATATAAATCTGTGGTACAGAATACAGAATCCAAAAATAAAACTTCTCTTATATGTTTAATTAATATTCAACAAAGGAAGTAAGAACATACAATGAGATGAAGACAGTTTTTTCAATAAATGGTGTTGTAAAAATTGGACAGATATGAAAAGTAGATTAGGTGTTAAGGTAGGACCCATTACTAAAAACATTTTCCTAATTATAAACAAAGTGGTATGCTCTTAAATGCATTTTTAAAAAGTATATTTTTAACAGCCTTGCTTTGTAGCACATACTAATTTTCATATGTAATTATTCATCATGGCTGATTGCAGTCTGCCAACATGAGGTAATTGTTTGTGCAGTGGGAAGAGATGTGCACAATAAACTTGAAGCCAACTAACCCTGCATAAAAGATTAGTAAAAAAAATAAATAAACCAATATATAAAGTTCACCAGAGGAAGAATATGATGCTAAATAAGTGAGTTTTTATAACATAAAATAAGCAAAAATGACATTGCAAAACAGAGACAAATACACAAATTGTAATTGTGCAACATGTTCTGCATAAGATTTTGCAAATATCTTATAAAAGATGATGAAAAAATGAAAAACATCAATTGGGAATAAAGAATTATTAACAATCCAAGAATCAAATATTACTTAGGTGACATAGTAACGAATTTGTACAAGACAATAGAAGGCATGTTCTATGAAAGTTCTATGGAAATGTGAAACATACAATAATTTTAGGAGATCTATCTCACTGTGCTCCTGACAGCAACATGAGAATTTAGCGATTTCCAGTTAAAAACGTTAACCCTATTGACACACATCTCTAAGGCCTGTTTCATATCTCTGTTCCTCAGGCTGTAGATGAAGGGGTTCAGCATGGGGGTAACTACCGTATACATTACCGAAGCAATTATGTCTTTAGAACCAGAGGAAGAGGAGAAAAAGTAAACACCTGCAGCTGTCCCATAATATAACAGCACCACAGAGAGATGGGAGCCACAGGTAGACAAGGCTTTAAAGAGTCTCTTGGTGGAGGGCACCCTCAGGATGATGGTGCCGATACGGATATAAGAGCCCAAAATTACACCAAAAGGAAGGAAGAAAATAATTCCAGCTTCAGTGAGTAGGATCAGCTCATTGAGGGAGATGTCTGAGCAGCTTAGCTTCAGGAGTGCAAGGAGGTCACAGAAGAAGTGGGTGATGATATTATTGGCACAGAAGGACAGTCGGACCAATAGAAGAGTGTGCAACAAATCATGGGCACAGGATAGAATCCAGCAGCCAGCCACCAGAAGCACACAGAGCCCCTCCCTCATGATGCTGGTGTAGTGCAGGGGATGACAGATGGCCACGTACCTGTCATATGCCATCACAGCCAGAAGAAAGTTGTCAAGACCAATAAAAAATATGAAAAAATACATTTGAGAAATGCATCCCTCATAGGAAATGGAGTGTTGCTGAGTCTGCATGTTCATGAGCATATTTGGGACAATGACAGAGGAAAGAGAAATGTCAGAGAAGGCCAGGTGGCTGAGGAAGAAGTACATGGGCGTGTGCAGGCGGGAGTCCAGCCTGATGAGCAGGATGATGAGCAGGTTGCCCAGCACCGTGGTCAGGTACATGCCCAGGAACAGGGTGAAGAACACGCCCTGCTGCCCTGGTGGGATGGGGAGCCCCAGGAGGAGGAACTGGGACACGCTGCTCTGGTTCTCAGGCCTCATGCTGCTCTTCTGTCTGCTGGGGATGAAGAAGGGTTGGGAATCTCAGGAACCTAGAAAGGAGGAACAGAACAAACACATCTCATACTATCATTCTCTGGGAAACCCATTCATCTTTAAAAACTTTTATATTAATTTCTCACACCTGTGGATGTATGCATATTCCCTTTCTCCCAGTCTGGCTCCAGTAAAACATTACACCCTGAAAGTAGTCACAAGACCTCATCACACAGTAGCAAGAAGGGGTTCTTTGTTTTTTGCAACCATTACTTACCTGTTCTTACCTGTCCTCCCTCACTGGCGCCATTAGCTGAGATAGCCACACTGTAAGCAACTCCCGGTTTCTTGAAACAAATCTGCTCTCATTTCCATGTACCAAAGTGTGAGACTCCCTTAGATCTCACAACTTCTTTTCATTTAAAAAATTTTTTGTCATAGAGTCTGTGTCAGGACCTCTTCTAAGGACTGAGATAATTTCTATACCCAGCCCGAGCCACACCCTAAGAATTCACTGTGGCAGAAACAGGAGACGAGCCCCAGAAACTTGTAGTGGTTGTTAGTGCCTTAAACTAATGTGGGACTCCCGGGCTGAGTTGGGCTTCTTATACCATTTTCACACTCCTCCCGTGAATGTGCCATGTCTCACTGATCCACAGCTGTAAACTCAAGGACTGTCTCAAATGGGTGACCATTTCAAACCACTTGATGCCAGAATAGCTCCAAATCAAAGTAGTCCACATACTGTCTTTAATAATATTGTTGAACATTTAGTACAACATTTGCATATTAGCCTGAGGACCTACCTACATTTCCTAATGAAACTCTCATGTCAACCTTACATTCCCAGATTTTAAAACTTTGTTAGAGCTACACTAAGAATTTGTGATCTTTCATTTTTTTAGTTTTTAATAAATAGAATCATAAGTGATACTAATTCTAAAGGCACACAGCAATACAATAGGGAATAGAAGGACACACAGACATGTGTATATCAGTGTGTATAATGTATGTAATGTGTCATATGTAAACTTTGATATATGTATTATTTTTTACATAATAAAAACCACCAAGTATTAGCTACTTCAAGGGGTTCTATCTAACATATCTTTGTGATCAGAACCCATGCTCTTAATTGTTACACAGGGAAACTTCCTTTTGCTTCATTAGGGGAGCCAAGCACAAGATATTACATTAGAGCTGTGAGGACTCAAAGTTGTCCAAAATTCTGAAACCTCTTATAAGATAATACCATCCCTTTATATTTATATAGCTTCTAACTCACAATAAATTGTCAAATTTAATAACTTTATTTTACACAGTAACTGTTTACTGAGAGCCTCTGTAAGAGAAGTGTAATTCTTTTCATTTTATAGACGGGGAAACTAAGACCAAAATTTAAGTAACTTTCCCAAAGTCTCTCCACTATTTGATGGTGAATCAGCCCAATAACTTCTCACAGCCTGATGCCTACAGGTTATTTTCTGGGGTGTTTAATAAACATAAAGAAGAGGAAAGGGAAATTGAAGAAATGATGAATAAGATCCAGAAAAGTACATTTTAAAATGAAAAGAAGAAGTTGTGAGATCTGAGGGAGTCTCACACTTTGGTACATGGAAATGAGAGCGGTTTTGTTTCAAGAAACCGGGAGTTGCTTAGAGTGTGGCAATCTTAGCTAATGGTTCCAGAGAAGGAGGACAGGTAAGGACATACTTGAGTTCTGACACCCATAAACACACACACACACACACACACACACACACACACACACACTGCTGAGCTGAGGATTCCAGTTACCTATGACCACGTTCTTGTTCTCAGGGAAGAATAGCAAATATGTGGTTCAGCTCAAAAACACTATGTACATACTTATAAATCATAAGTAACACACTAAGTGAGATATTTACAACACACAATGATGGACCACTCACCCATAAAAATACTAACAACTGAATCATGACTCATCTGGTGAACACCCAACTCACCACATATACATATCTCAAGTGCCATACACACATCACCAAAAGCACACAAGACCACAAACAATTAGAAAATCTTATAGGATACCAGCTGATGTGGCTCAGTGATTGAGCATCAACCTTTCAACCAGGTGGCCACAGTTCCATTCTGCTTAGAGCACTTGCTCGATCTATAAGTTCAGTACCCTGCAGGTTGTGCAGGAGAAAGCTGACCAATGATTCTCTCTCATCGTTGATGTTTCTGGCTTTCTCCCTCTCCCTTCCTCTCTAAAATCAAAAAGGTATTTTTTGTAAAAAGAAATGTCCTAAGAAACAAACATCGAAACACATATGCACACCTAGCCATACACTCACTGCAACAAGTAGCACTATCCCTCCTATTACTGAGAGGCAGGCTTCCACCCTTCCAGGGGTTGGGAACCTACTTGATGTGGTGAAGCCTATTCTGTCACAGGTAGTGATTAAACCAGTAACAATATCCCAGGCACCAGGTCACATACACAGAAAACCAAACAATACACCTTCCAGTTCTCACACATGAGTGTGTCACCACAGACACAGCTCCCATGTGCACCAATACCCGCTGCTGAGCAGAGGTGTGAGCCATCTCTGAGCTGACCTTGGTTCCTGGTGAGGTTGGTCATCTTCTTGTCTAGAAGAGATAACAATTTCACTCCCGATGCTCAGCTGTGATGTCAGTGTTTATGATAACAGGCATGAATCCGGAATCCCTCACCACATGCTAAGCAATGATAACTTGTTCTACATGCATTAAAACAAGACTTTGAGTCAGATACATAGTGCACACACACACACACACACACACACACACACACTGAACATTCAACTATTAAATATCATGTAGATAAATATATACAATACATGCAGACATATGCACAGATTCATGGACACAAAATTTCACACACCCACTAGCACTCAGGCAGATCCATAGACAAAGACAGATTTCCAGCTCCTCTCACCTGGGCTCATCATCGGTGAGTTCAGACACCTTCTGCTCCAGACTGTTGCCCATCTCCTCAGGTTTTCTTCAGGAGACCTCACATCCAGACACACAGAAGCAACATCAGGGGCCTTGGCACTTCTACAGACTTTCCTTTTCCTTAACCAGCTCCAGAGAAATGAGTCCAAAGATAACCATTATTAACAAGAGACTGCAATGAAGTCCAAGTCCACATGTTTCTGGCTAATTTCTGACTGTCCTTTGGGGAGCTGTGTTTCCACAGCCAGAGGGACTGGACTCCTAGGGGACAGTGTTCCTGATTCCAGTCATGCCCTGGACTTCTTTCTTCTTGGCCATTATTCCAGCTGGTATAAATGATTTTTTCAACTTAACATTTTAAATGATTTTAAATATAGAGAAATATGGTAAAATGCCATATAAGGTTAGAAAAAGGCAGGTTTCCAATTGGAGTATGAAAACACAGAGTTTATTCACATATTATTATTTATTATTATTGTATTATTTTTCAACATACACAGAGAAAACCAAACAACACACTTTTCATCTCTCTAAACATACTTTGCCCTAACCTATAATTGGCTAATGTAGTGCCTGCCAGGTTATCTACTGGAAAGTTACTATTTTTTTAAGTTACTATTTTAACCTTATAATTAATAGATAACATTTAGGTAGATATTTTGATACTATACAAACATAACTTTTTCTTTACTAAAATTTCAACTCATTTGCATTTGACATCCATTGGTGATTCTTGTATTAGAAAATTATTGTAAATGTTGTTGCCAGATATTATAATTCCACTAGAGGCCCAGTGCATGAAATGCGAGCAAATGGTAGGGTCCCTAGCGGGTGCCAGCGGCTGACCAAGGCCTCCCTTCCTTCTCCCAGCTCCTGCCACAGGTGGGCCTCCCAACCTTTCTCTGGTTACCTGCCACCGCTGCCCCTGCCCAGGACCTCCCTCTCTTTCCCTGGCTGTCCCTGCCCCCTGGTTGAACTCCCAGCCAAATTCTGGGTCGAGAGGACAATTTCCATACTATGCTTTTATCATATAGGATTACTTCTTCTCGATTTATTACTTGTATTCTCTGATAAGAATAAAATTACTCTTTTTTAACACTCATTAGTGTTTTATTTATTAATTTATGTCATTATAGACTCAGAGATTCTTATTCTTTGAGTTATAATCTGTTATCATTTATTACTCATTTTAAAACTTTAGTTGTGCTTATTGACTACGAGGATTCTAAATGATCTCAGAGAAGCGAACTGGGAAATATATATAAAAAAACACAAGAAGCAGAAACTAGCAACTAAGAAGCTAAAGGAATATTTACTCACAGCAGGTCGGTCCTTAATGGGAGAGGAAGAATGGGTAATGGAATCAGGATAGATGTTGATATATGACCTATAATGTGCAATCTACTTATAAATTTTAAAACCCATGATTTCTAATTGATATCTCCAATTCAAGAACACCAGAGAGTTCTTTCACGGCTTTTTTCCATGTACATAGCTCCCTATAGAGAGAGGGATTGCCTTTCCTCAATGTTTACTCATTTGATGAGTCTTTGGATACATGATGAGTTGTTTCAGAATCTTGACTTACACCACTGTCAATGACACACTAAGTACAGCTTAAAACTTTGTTGGCAGGTTTTTATTTTTTTATTTTTATTGTGAAAGTATGTAGTGACAATTTTGGGTTCAAGAATACTCTTATATACCTTGCTTTTTAAACTTTAGCAATATATACTATTTCTCCACATTGATTTATAAATATGTCTATTCTTATTTTTTCCCCAGTTGCAAAATACTAAGTTTTATTGATGTTCTATAGAGTTTTCTTTACTGATCCTAGTAGGAGATATTGGTGTTGAGTGTCTTAAATGCCACCCAATAGTATACCTCTAATGGCTAACATGATAAATTTTATGTTTTGTATATTAAATTATAATTAAAAATTAAAGAGTAGGTAATAGATAATCTCTATATACTGTTATGGTACATAAAAGAATTTTAACAACAACAACATTATAATGTAGGATCAATATATAAATAAGGCGGAATGAAATAAAAAATATATTTGA